TTGTTTCGCTTCTCCCACAGGGTTTCCCGACCTTGGTGGTTTGGGGACTTTCTGGACAGAGAAACTGCCTAGTAATGATGCTAGGAGAGCTGTAAGGCCAGTAGTTCAGAGCCAGCTCTGGTGTGCTCTGCTGCTGTAGGAGGGTTCAAGCCTCCTGAAGGCTTTTGTGGGCATGGGCTGCTTCGTAGGATCAGCCAGGCTGGGCCACGTGATGTTTTGTCTGGTTGCATTAACAACCCTCTGCATGGGGCTTAACCAGAGAGAGAATTATCTGCCTCATTGACACCATAATGCACGAGGCAAACTACTTAGCAATCCCAAAAGAAAACAAAACAAGGAAGTGCATAGTTTCTAGTTCACAGATTTCTACAAGGATGCTCCAGCTTCCGTACCGAGGCCAGTCTGCTGTACTTCTGGGCTTGATGTATGTCTTTTCAGACACCAGGACTGAGTAATGCAAAAGGGGAGATGTTTGCCATGTCTCTCCTCTCCTCTCCTCTCCTCTCCTCTCCTCTCCTCTCCTCTCCTCTCCTCTCCTCTCCTCTCCTCTCCTCTCCTCTCCTCTCCTCTCCTCTCCTCTCCTCTCCTCTCCTCTCCTCTCCTCTCCTCTCCTCTCCTCTCCTCTCCTCTCCTCTCCTCTCCTCTCCTCTCCTCTCCTCTCCTCTCCTCTCCTCTCCTCTCCTCTCCTCTCCTCTCCTCTCCTCTCCTCTCCTCTCCTCTCCTCTCCTCTTTTTTTTCCACTCACATCCCCATTGCGATAAAGATGAGCAGAAATTGAAATCTAAAGATGTTCATGGGATGCTTCACGTTAGCAAAACAGAAAATTTTCTGTTGTTAAAGAAAAGAACAGAAGTTCATAATTGCTAACAAAGAAAGCCAGCAAGAATCACTGTGGTAATCTGCCAGCATCTTGGGAATGAAGGAGGGCTGCCTATAGGTGTGTCATGAGAAAAGCTGCTACTTGATTGTTTGTCTTTCAAAGGGACTTGCTGGACCTGGCTCCAGGATTTGTTAACTGGCTGTGTACGTTACCAGCAGCACGGCTGAGCACGGCTGTCCCTCTCTGCCTGTCCCCAGGCCACAGCCCAGTCCTCCGTTGGAGGTGACGGAGAGCCGCAGTCATTTGACGCCGTGGCTTTGCATCACTCTAGGCCTCCACTTATTGAAAAGTAACAAAACTGCTTGCAGGTAAACACATGAGATCATCAACCCTCCCATTAATTAGGAGGGAGTGTTCCAATACTGGCCATAATCATCTCAAGCGGATACGGAAGACCAGCCTCGTGGTAGGACTTAATGCAGCAGGGAAGCTCTTAACACCAGGAGGTAACGTTAGTCATCTGGGAAACCCTGAAAGGCCTCTCCAAAAGTAAGGCTAGGCTGCTGTCTGCAGCTGGAAAACAAATGATGTGCTATGGGCTAAGTCATGGCACATGCCCAAGCCCACAAATTCTGTCCACTGCTTGACTGTAGACTGGCCTTTGACAGCCCACTTCATGGTGCTGCAGCTCGGTTCCTGTACCTGTAACATAATGCAAAAGGAGAAAGCCCTGGATTCAGAAAAAAAAAAAAAAAAATGAAATTATTGAATATAGATGCCTAAGTCAAAAACTGCAGCTTTGAAAGCCTCTGTCTTAGGCACCAGAAAAATCACTGATGCCTTGATTTGGCCAGTGAAGCCTTCCCCAGCCAAATCTACAGGTGTAGCTCATGCCACTGTTAAGGTCCGCAGTACTGCAGTGGTTAAATAGATTACTAGAAATATTTTTAGTCAAGATCTTAACCTGCACTAACCTTACGGGTGCTTTTGTTTCATAGAAATGAGCTGCAAAAGCAGGAAGCCCTGTCGAGCACAGCACTCCAGGAAGAACACAGAGGGTGCCAGCAAACCTGACCGCCTTGGAGTATGGCGATTGAGTGCTTTTATGCGTGTTCATCCCTGAACCTTTGCTTACATGAAGATTCAGAGGGACGTATATTTTATCTGTCTCTAACCTAAAATTCTCCAGGGTGATTGTTTAGCTTGTAAAATATTTAGATGCACACACCCACACATGGCCCATTTTGTTTTTTGAGTGAGGTTTGTATAGTTGTATGCCTAATTTGTTTGTGCAGCTTCTGTCACTGAATATTCATATTGTAAATGGACATGCAAATGCTTAGATACAAAGATACCAAACTCACTTTTCCTCATTTTTTTGTAGAAACGAGAATGCATTTTGTCACACAATGAGTAGACAGCAGTCTGTGCTTTTTAAAGGGAAAGTGGGCTCAGGAAGAAAAAAGTTCCAGTTACCCCACCACAAATGCATTAAGCCTAAAATAAGTTGTTCTAAAAATATATGTACCAAAGCTGTAAGTGGGAACTATTCATAGTGGATGGCCACATTCTTGACCCCTGTCTGTGCTGGTTATAAGATAACTGCAGGAATTCCCAAGTTGCAATTAGAAGTGCTACCCCATTCTAGAAACACTTGAAAATGAAGTTATGGTTACTGTAGAGAGGTGCTTCCGATTTTTTTATTTATTCACTAATTCAGAAAAAAAGTAAATTAAATGTAATTATCATATTCCTAGAGGTTTGTTTATGCTAAACTTCACTAGGGTTTTACCAGATACCTTACATAATTCCTAGTAAAAGCTCACGTAAGTTTTAAACTTGCATTAAAGGAACAGATGAAAATAATGTCACAGTCAAGGTGTACACAGAGCCTATATAAAAATATGTGGTGTTGGTGCATCAGCCAGTGCTGTGACTCATGTTAAACTGCGTCATGAATGCTATGCCACTGGGGTACAGCTATTGACTTTGAGAGATCTTTTGCCTTACAATGCTCTATTGCTTCCTCCGTACTTAAGAAGCATGGTTTTCCAAATTCCTTTCTGTAAATTTGTAGATGTCATCCTCGTGGAATTCCTGACTGAATGCTCATCCTCATCTCTGCAAACTGCCTGTAGTTGCACTCTGCATCTCTCTCAAAGGAATCCCTTCCCTCTCCTTGGCATTTTATTTACACTCAGATTTTTCTCCACTTTCCCTCTGAACAGCCACCTTGTGTCTCCAGAGGCCGGGAGGGAGAGCCAAGTGCTTTCTCTGTTTTACTAAGGCCAAGGCCAGAGGCATCAGTTGTGATGGACTAGGGAGTCTATGAAGTGTCTCCTTCCTCTTCTGAAGTCCATGGGACATTTAGGGTTGAGTCTGGGGGCTGCTTGTGCCAGCTGACGTTCCCGGGGGAGCTGATATCCCTACACGGGGCTGGCAGATACGATACCTGCATCCTCCTGCATCAATGCCAGGAGTTTGAGGAGCTACTATGCTGGCTAAGTGTAGGTGCCTATACTAAGATTGGCTGACATCATTTTAGACATGACTTTTAGCTGTCAATAACTATATTGAACTATTTGTCCATTGGGGGAATACAGTAGGAACTTAAACATTCAGCGTGTGTGCAGAGACAGGCATTTGGAGTCTTCATGTGGAGCTAACTCCTGCTCCAAGCTCTCAATTCAGTTGGTTAAAGGGAAAAACCTGGAGCATTTTGAGATGCCCAGGACCTGTCCCTTCCTGCTTGGCCTCCAGCTCTGTGCTCCAGAGGGACATGGGTTTCCTGTGGCATATCTGTCAGTTCTCAGTGCATCTCACAACCTTTGGGGCCATCAGGCCATGTCTGCATGTGAGCAACTGAATGAAGCCTTAAATCACTGCTGATTATAAAAGGACATTCAATATCTCTATCGTGTAGACACTTCCCTGTTCAAACCAGCAAGCTGAATCTTTCCCCACATCCTTTCCCCCATCTTAATGTACTTTTCATTTGCTCTGAGACAAGAAATTATATGCAATTCTATAATACTTCCTTCAATATTATGGATGAATTTAGTCAGGGCAGTTAATCTACCAAATATTTTCTTGCATGCTTTTTTATCAACAGCTAAAATGTTGTCGATTCTTCTTAAGTGCCAGCACTCCACCTTCATTTTTCTTTCTATTAAAATAATAATAATAATAAAAGTTTGAAAATAGTTCTGTATTATTCCTATTTTGTAACAATTTATTTCACTTCCATCTATAGAAAGAGGCCTGCTTCCTCTTTGGTACAGTGTTCATTTTATCTGATGCCCCTTTGGCTATCCTTAACTCATTCTGCTTTCTTGCTGTTTTTGTCTTTTCCTGTGGACTTTAATCGAGTCTGACAAGCAGTCTTTCTAAAGGCACACTGTCTGTTTCCTTCTCCATTTTGTTTTCTTTCTCAGGGGGACTGCAGACAGATATGCTGCAAATGCAGTTTCTTTTAAAGTTCTCCAGCATTCCTGTAAACTCATGTTTAGTTGTTTGTTCAAGTGCTCCATTGCATCACAGCCACTAGTGGTCTTAATACCTTCCAAATTTGATTCCACACCTCTTACCTCCTGTAGTAAACATCTAATCCAAAACTTCTGGTTATTGGTGTTTGTCTCCTATACAACAGATTGTTTTGGTTTTGCTTACTTGAACTCGTTTCATTGTGAGTGCCAGGATCAAACTTTCCTACTCCTCTCACATACCTAATTCCCCTTCGCTGGACAGAAATAACTCAAGGCTGACATCTTCTTTGAAACAATTCCAGCTGTGCCAAACCCAAAAACACAAGGAACTTGTAGATCAGCCTTTCCGTATATAACTATGTGATCCTGGTTAAAAAAGGAGAATTGGAGGTCAAGAAATCATGGAAGTAAGTTAGCTTTTATTTGTGTTCAGGTCCTCTGAGTATACAGGCCATCCTTTTATGCTTTTCACTGCATGAGGGAGAGAAAAAGAGGTAGGCAGAGGGATGAAGGAGGGAGAGAGGGAGAAAGGAGAGGGGAGAGAGGGAGAAAGGAAGGGGGGAGAGAGGGAGAAAGGAGGGAAGGAGGGAAGGAGGGAAGGAGGGAGGGAGGGAGGGAGGGAGGGAGGAAGGAAGGAAGGAAGGAAGGAAGGAAGGAAGGAAGGAAGGAAGGAAGGAAGGAAGGAAGGAAGGAAGGAAGGAAGGAAGGAAGGAAGGAAGGAAGGAAGGAAGGAAGGAAGGAAGGAAGGAAGGAAGGAATTTTTATGTAAAAGGACAACTCTGACAATGATGTTTTAAGACAACTTTGAAAGCTCACATTAAAGTTAAAATGGTTAGCAGCACAAAGGCTCTTTATTATCTGAATCGTGATGCAGCTGTGTCTGCAACATAGAAATGCCTTGATATTTGCCGTAGCTATAAATGTCACACCACAGATGTCCCCCTGGGGTGGGGTGCCCCCCTGGTCCTGGTATTCCCAAGCTCTGTGGTTGTCAGTCCCGGGATTGCTCAGATTCCCTCTCCTCCAGCCAGGCCCTCGCTTCCCACTTGTCCCCCACACCCGTTCATTTCATATTCCCTATTAAAAACAGCCTAACTCCACATACTCTGCCACCCCCTTTCCTGACCTAATCACATTGTTAGCACCCCCTGCCCCATCCCTGTCTGCTGTGACACCGTGCCAGGCCTAGGCCGCATGCCCATGACCACCCCACCATGGCTCAGCCCCATGGCCTCTCTCCTCTGCTGGGACCCCCCCAGTGCCATGGGGGCTGCTCCCTGCCATGGGGGTGCTGCCATGGGGAGGGTGCCCACCCTAGGGTGCCGTGCCAAAAAGCCCACGTCTGCAGGATAGACAGAGTCCATGCTGCAGGTGGCCTGACACAAGTGCCTCACATGCCAGAAAAGAAGGAAATTAGGGGGTTGGCAGCTATCAAAACTAATAGTGGCTTTGTGCTGGAAGCACTGGATAGAGGCGATATGAAGACAAAATGATAGGAAAACACCATCTTCGCGCAGTAAATCAATACTGTTAATATAACTAAGACCTTCTTGAAAGGCGAGGGCACAAATTTCTGACATTAGTTGTTGTCATAACAAGTGGTCCCTACTGCTCACATTTAAAAATTGACCTTTTCATCTTTCATTACTGCCATGGAGATCAATAATCTCATGCATGAGGAGAGCTACTGGTATCTGTAGGATGTCCCGAGGATTAAAAAAACAGAGTTGTACTTCCTGCACTGTCTGCCTGGGCACCTTTCTGTGAGTCTTACAGAACAACCTGGGTGAATTTCTTCTATGGTGCAGAGACGGAAGATAAGACGAGAACTCATCATCATTCATTCTACATAATTAATCAGCTATGATAAAAGCTTGATGAAGCAACATTTGCAGTAATGCAGACTTTAAAAATAGATTGTATAATTCCCTCCATGTCTACACTCATGCAGAGTGCTATGCAAATGCATAATCACATCCCTTACTCCCACACACATGTACTCGTAGGAAGGCTCGCTGATACATACGGTAATAAAACACACGTTCCCATGCAAAAACATGCTTGTTTTGAGGTGTATAAATTAAACATGCTAACATTTAATATTTACATTGTTTTCATCGTTCTTTTTAACCGCATATTTCTGTATGTGTTTACATACCGTGCCATCATAAGATATCATGTAAGCACACTGGTATCCATATATGAAGCTATCAAGCTGCAGAGACATAAGATGAACACTGCGGGTGAGGGACACAATGTATGTGTTCAGATGCATCTTCATTACATACAAGTGTTCAAAAGATTTTTGTCCTCCCTAGGTATATATCACCAAATAATTGGTTTGAAGGAATTTTTAGTTTCTAATTATTAGTCCTACATCTGAAATCTTTCTATTATCTCTATATACATATACGTATAAATCCATATTTTCATTTGTGCTTGTACCTATACACACAAGTGTATGTATATACACAGCATATAAATACCAACCCAAGCACAAAACTTCTGCAAGAGGAAGACAGCAGTGAATCCGACCCCAAAACGCCTTACAAAACAGGGCAGCCAGCTTATGCAACCTGTGTCTGCAGATCACCCTAGGCACAAAGGGCTGGTTCCCAGGGGACACGCCGCTGCTGCCAGCAGCGCCTTGCAGGCAGGTTTGCTGCACGAGCAGCATCAGCCGCAGCAGAGTGGGGATAAAGTCACTGAAATCGCTGACACGGCTCCTCAGCTAGAAAAAGCCCCGCGGTGGCCCAAAAAGAAAAAAAAAAAAGAAAGAAAGAAAAAAAGAGCCAATTTCTTTCCTCATCACGTCCTAATATACACCGCTGTCATGTCTTGGAAGAAATTCAGGGCTTTCTCCTGCAAGAAATAGCAAAAAGGAGGATAAATTGCTTTATCTTTGGCAGAAGTGGAGCAGGCCTTCAGTTATATCCCCAAAGCTGCTCCAAGGAGAGGATTTCCTCGCATGCATTCAGGCAATTATTTCACACTGAATGAGGAGCAGAAACGTTTCTGCTTTGTGACTGAGCCTCCCCCGGGGTCCTCTGTTGCAAATGCCTGGAGCCTGCCGTGCCTGGGGACAGGGCTGAGGGCAGGTCTGCTGTCGGCAGCCCTTTCCTCCCCCAGGGTCACACTTCCTTCATCAGCATCAGTTTTTAGAAAGGCGAATGGGCAGCCAGCACTGATTCTGCATGCAGAGTGACCATTTTAATTCTCAGCTCCACAGTTTCCTTCTAAACTCTGATATAGCCAGAGGTCAAGCACAGCCCTGAGTAACAGCAATGAGGCATTCGTAAAGTGAAGGACAAGCAAACTTCCAGCACCGATCTAGTTATAATTTTGTACAGCAAAAGTTTGTTTTCCTAACTATCTGCTTACACTTATGGGCATCAGACTTTCAAGTTTACTGGGGCACACCCGTGGTGAATACTGTTTTCTGCAACTTTTATTATTCTGGAGATTGAATCCCAGCAGAACATTAGAAGAATAAAATTGGACTTGTAAACTTTATGTCCTGAATCCACCCACATGTAATTGAAATAAATACTTGGATGGTTCAGTTCCACTTAACTGAAACTCATATTGATTGTGAGGGTGACAAATATTACACAAATATATACATATATATATAAGTACATATGCAAAGATTTGTCGATCCTTTGCATCTCTAAATGATCTTTACCTGAATTTTCACATTGATATGTAGCTTTGAAAAGTGGAAACATTTTCATTTTTGCTACACTCCCATGTGAAGACTAGCCCTCAGCATGGATTTTTACCAGAACTACAGCATCAGACTGACTGCCACATTGCCTTTAAGTGTAATAATTAGTTTCTTGGTATATTGAAAGCACTTGGGACAGAGGTCAAGGAAGGGGAGAGAGTTGCTCTATTTTCATGGAGTGGAGGCAGAACAGATTTGGCCAGCTGTGCAAAGTCACAGGGCTGGCAGTACTGCCACGAGTAATTTGAGTGGGAGAGGAGCCTGCTCAGCACTTGTCCATTTCCAGGTGCTTTCTGCACCTACGTGCACAGGCTAACACCACAAAGAAACCGAGTCTTTGGTACCTTGCTGTAAAGAGAGTGGAAGTTGTAGGGAGTTTTATTTGTAATGGATGAAAGATATTTCCCAAGACACGAGGCTTTGCTGAGACAAGAAGAAGCCATACGGAGGAGACAGGAGCAGCCCGCTGAAGAGCAGTGTGCTTGCTTTCAGCAACAGGGATGTGTCTGGCGCAGAGGGTGCTGCTGCTTGTCTGACACCAAAGTGCCCTGTGGGATCTGTAACAATGGGGGCTGGGAAAACAGGGACCATTTCTGTACAGAGAGCATCCTGCTTGTGGCACAACCACTGCGGTTAAGGGAAGAAAGGGAGACAAGAAACAGGGCACATAGCAGGAGAGGGAAGAAAGCTGTATTCGGCGAAGGCTTAAAACTCAGAGACATTGGCTGGCTGAGACACCCTGCCTGTGGATGTTTCTGAGCTCTCATTTCACCTTGGCTAGTCGGCGGCACGCTATCGCATCCCAGCACACCCACCACAGCCCTGGCGCTGCCCAGGCATGGCACCCGCAGAGCAGCTGGGGCTCGAGTCACGAAATGCGTGACAGTAAAAACACAGCTGAAAGAGAAAAGGCAGAGGCTTAGGAAACAATTAAGCTGCTTAAAAGCTGTGTGAGACTCTTGGGGGAAAACAAACGAAAAAGAGTTCTTACAGCTCTCAGCAGGGGAGCGGGGAGAGGTTTGCACAGCTCTTTCTTGCGGTGCTGTGCCTATGACATTTTGCAGATGTGAGCTCACCTTTGTTTAAGGTCAACTTTCCGGAGCTTGAAGTTACTAATCCTGCTGAATAGTCAGGCCCCAAATGAGCTCCATCCCAAAGGGAGCTGTCAAGCAATGCTTCCCTGCTTAACTGATTAAGACCTGCTCCTAGTTTTTTTGCAGGCAATTGATGAATCTAGTAGTTGTCTTTCCTGTGCACGGTAGATCAATTGACAAGAAAACTGTTTAATGGCAAAGCTTCTAAATGCTTGTCTAAATTCTTTTTGCATTTTAAGAGTGGAGACAAGTTATTCAATCAAGCGTGGCACTTCACACCACAGTGTCTAGTTAAACCATATCAGCCTCTCTGAAGAAAATGCTTCGGGTCATATTGTGGACAGAATATCCTGAGGAACATTTAATGTGACAGGCTTTGTCATCCAATATCTATGAGTTTTGGTTGGAAACAAGCTTGCAGAGGTGCTCAAAAATGCCTTCTGAGCTTGCAGGCATGTAGCCTGATTTGCTGGTTTAATCCCTAAGGGCGCTGCTGTGGTTGCAGCAGTGTGAAGGTGCAGATGGGCAGCTGGTGCCGCGCAGTAGCCCCAGATCTGTTTTCTGCTCAGTTGCTGGCTGCAGGCTTTGTTTCACCTCTACACAAGCATTTCTCTGGTCACGGTTTTGTTAGGCAATGCCTTCTCAGAAGGTCTCTGTGTTTTCCCTACCTTTACTAATTGGAGGCACAGTAGATTACACTCTTGCTGAATAGACTAATTTATTTCTAAGTCAATGCTCTTACACATTTATAAATTTGGCGTGAAGGAGAACTTACATTGGTCTGGAAAGTTTTCAACCATAGTCTGTTTTCCCCATATTAATAATCCTGTTCATAAATAAATTTGACTGATTTTTTCCTTTTTTTGCATTTTGGGAGAGTACCAAACTTTCCAGCACTCAAAGAAGCAATGTAAACAGTGCACATTTTGCCTCGCTGAGCAGGGCTTCAGTTCAAGAAGAGCCCATCTGAGTCATTGTGGTAATGGCTCTCAAAGATGGCATAACCCGGTCTGCTTTGAGATATTCAGAGCAAAAAGCAGGCTGACTCCAAGGTAAGAAACTATTCTCTCTGGATTGGATCCCGCTCCTCTTTTCAAGGAGTCATCTTGCCCAGCAGTCACTTCTAAACTGAGCATTTCGAGCTGAAGAGGCTGCCACCTGCATAGGGTCAAATAAAGCGGGGGAAGCCAGCCTTTTGTGTGCTGAGGTACGTGCCCTTCCTGAGCTCACTAACAGCAGAGTCGTGCTTCAGTACGCCGTCCTTCTGTCAGAGAAGCAGCAGAGGAAAAGCAAGCCTGGAGCAAAACCACAGGTTGCCCTTGGGATTTTCACCTTTTCTCATCATACCTGCTTGTCTAAGGCAGGTCGTGCTTTCCAGTCTTTCATGCTTGTGGGCAGCCTGAACTAAAGACCCCAAAATGCAGGCAGCTGCAAAGCTGCAAGCTGTTAGAGAGCACTGTCTATTGCTCCAGTCTGAATTGTGGCATTCCTGCCTTTAACTATCTTTCCCCCTCTCTGGCACTGCCATTTGTTAATAGAGGCTGCCTTGCCTTTTAAGCATTAACATGAAGTTTATTGCCTTGAAAGATGGGGTAAGACTAGTTAGTGTATGATACCTCACTCATATCTATTTAATTGAAAATGACCACAATTTCCCTGCGAATTTATCTGGCCAAGGAAACCAAATAGTCCCTTTCATGATGTCCCAGTTATATTTCTTGTGTGCTACAGGACAATAACAAGTCCAGAAAGTACTGCTCTATTACCATTGATCGGAGGGTGATGCTCCAGCTGCGCCTGCTGCCATGCTTCAGCCACCCTTAAGATCAGGACTGCTGTGAGTATCACTTAATAAGCCTTCTTACACCGAAGTTTTGTCAGCCGCAGACTCCTGCAGAGCACCAGCTGCCTCGGTATTTACTCTGTTTTACAACAAAAAAGTTGAGGCTGCCAAAAAATTGCCAGACAACTTCCCATTTTTGCACATGAAACAGCTGCAGCTACGTTCCCTTCAAGGCATGAAAATTGATCTGAGAATGAATTTGGGGTTTGGGGAGGCTTTAGGAAAAAAAAATCTTTTTCTATTTTTGAAGTAAAAGAGGGTGGAAGAGTAAATACACTGAGCAAACCACTTCCCTAATATTCACTGTGCGGTTTGCTCAGACTTCTTTGGAGGGGAAAGGCGAAAGGCAATGGTTTGAACACATCTAAGAATATGTAGCCCAGCTGGGTGCAGGCAGGTGTGCTCCTCTTCCACCTGCATTTGAGAATATGCAAAGCAAAGGCACTCATCCGCACCTGTTTATGTAGACACATCCTGCATTTTGAAGCTTGAAATTTGGTATCAAAATAATCCCTTCTGTGCTGAACAGGTGTTTGAGGAGCTGCACACAGCTCGTTGTAGAGGAGCAGTCCTGAAAGCTAGGCAGTATGCGCCAGCTCTCTGGAGCAGACTGCAGGCTTTGGGCTGTTGGTTCAGCCTGAATGCACCCACAAACAGAGTGCATTCAGCTCACCTGTCTCATGACATCAACCTACAGCCATGACCTAACACATCTACTTCCTACATTTCAGGGGAAATCAAAATGATAATAATAGCAAATGTAATAGTAATGCTGAATAGTGATGCTGATAGCAATATAATAACCACTATCTGCTGGGGCTGCCGTTGGACTTATGCAGCATGAGATTCTGCTAGAATTGCAGTTTGGATGCAGTTTGGCTACACGTAGCCAATGAACTGAGGGAGCACAAACCACCTTGTCCAACTCATTCCCTTCCTCGCCTTGTTGATGGATGTTTTGTGCAAGGACTTGTTCTGATGGCTTGAGGCCCCAGTGATTTTGGCTTTCTGTCAAGCGTGTTACAGACAAAGTTGGATGCAAGTCATCCTGTTTATGAAACTGAGAGAGACCTTTATAATGACATGTCTACACTGTGGCAAGACAAAGGAACATCTACACTTCTAAGAATCTTTTTTTTTGGTTGTTTTTTTTTTTTTTTTTGGGCTGAGTTTGTTTAACTGCACTGTCCCAAATCTTCTACTGGCAGTACTGAATGCCTCCTCCATGAGGTACCTTTCCCATGCACAAGTACTTACAGAGCGTGGCCAAGGTGTCACTGAGCATGATTAGTTGTCTCCAAGAGCCATTGGAGGCAAGCACTCCGATCATTCCATGATCCTCATTTCCACTGGTTTTCCATCCTGAATCAATTGGTGTCCTTGCTCTGACATCCCTCAGTATCTCCACAGCAAATACCAATAACAAACCTGCACACAACACTCCTCACGAGGCTTTGTTGATGTGGCAGGCAGGAGTAAACTCCTTTCCTACCTCCCTCCTCAACATGATTTTAGGCTGTTAATTGTTGTAAAAATAGCTTTTCTTCTTGTGTATTTTATGTAGATCTTTTCAGAATGCTTTTTTTTTTTTTTTTTCCTCACTTAGGAAGACTTTGCTTTTCTAGTCGAGCTGATCCCTCACTACCCCGACCCTTAGTAGTTGGGCTAGATGAGAAACATGAATGCTGAAGGCTTTCTCTGCAGTCACTTGTAAGCTACCTAAATGTTTGGTGCCTTTAATTATCCCCAAAGTGAATGTTGCAACATGACCGCACCACCTGGATGGATGGCTTGGGAGCCAGAGAGCTGTGCTGGCTGCCTGTATGGTACTTGCAGGGCTTTACTTTGCTCCATAGCAGTATCTATTAGACATGCATGCATATGCATTTCTGCAAGACAGCCGTGCTAGAGCTCTCCAGGCTACCAGCTGGTGTGTCTCCGTGGTGCACAGCAGCTTTGATCCCAGAATCTCCATAATTATGTTACCGTATTGCTTCCTCCCAACTGCTTAGCTAAGCCGAGAAGCCATCTGCAAGACGCTTTGGGTCGGATGACGTCTTGCTCTCCCATATCAGGTGGTGATGCAGGTTTGCTCCCAGCCAGCTCTGGAGCTGCCAGCCCCTCTCACCTGGCCCCAGCCTGGAGCTCCCCAGCTGTGGCTGCTGCACCATGGCACGGGCACCGCTCGGCTTGTCAACCAGAACAGGGTGCCTGCACGCCGACACCCGCTGCTCATCTGCTCCCACCCAGGGCACAGCGAGACCACAGAGCCGAGCAGAGCTGGGGTTGTTCCTCCCGTGCTGGATGGTGCTTTCCCTCACCCAAAGTACCAGCTGCTTATCCTGGTGATGGGCATTTATGTTGGATTCTCTCCATCACAAGGGCTGAAAAGCATGAGTGGCTACTAAGGGGGCTTGCATGATACATAAAGGGAGACTACCCAGTTCCTACACACTTCTGCAGTGACAATATTGTTTACTAGCTCAGACAGGGAAACTGAACCATGTACATTTTCATTGTCTCATCCCTGCTCTGAAAAGCTCACTGGTGATGGTTGTGTTTTTTTTTTTCAGGACAACACCTGAAAACAAACCTGTCAAAAACAGAGAGATTACGTGAGGGTGGATCCAGATAAAGAGGAGATTGCCTGGTTTTAAAACCCCGGGGTGAGAAATAATAGAAGGAATTTGGGGAACTGCAGCTCTTCAATCAATACGTTTTCTGTCTGAAAAAGAGAGAAAGAGAAAGAGAGTGAAGACGCGCGGAGTAGGAAGGATTGCCTTGTGGTTAAGGGTCTCAGGAGCTCTAGCCTCATTTCCTGGCTCTGCTCAGGCTTCTCACATAACCTTGGCCAAAGTCACTCAATCTCCCCGTGCCACAGCTCTTCTGCTATTACATGCATCCCCATCTCACAGCATTGCCCCTCTTCTTCCCTCCTTTGCCTCACCTGCTGAGAGTGTAAAATCTCTGAGGTGCAGACTGCCTCTCATTTCGGATTTGTCTCTGTTTTTATTGTCTCTGGTTTGATTTGTTTCTGTTTGTACCCTATCCAGCAACCTCAGGCAGAGCCTATAGGTGATACCACAACACAAACAAAATAGCAACTGAGTTTTTGAAAGCTTCTGTGTTAAAAATAAAAAAAATAAAATCTGAAATGTTCTGCTTCTGATAAACTGGTAGTAAATTCTGAGAAAGATTGGCTTGTTCTGACAGTGTAATGGGTTTGCTGTATTGCAGACACTAACTGGCAGATTCTTATGGAGTTACTCTATGGATTTTTACATAACACATTTAATGTTGTAATCTTAGTCTGCTGCATTTAAATATTTGAACATAGTCCTATGCTCAGGGACTGTAAACTTAATTTTGCCAACAGTCAGCAGAGCCTTCCACAGGTGAAACTCTGGTGTAAGCACTAATCCCTGACATATGGCTGTTATCTAACTGGGCTCCAATTACCTCACTGGTGATATCCCTGTTGCTGGTAAGAAGCAAATTTCCATGAAGTCACACGGTATCAGTCAGAGGGCTCATACATTTGCTGTGCTAGTGACGTAATCCACCCGTTCAGATAACTGCTGTTCACTGTAGGAATGAATAAAGATTAATTCAGAACCTAATGTACATTGGTAAACAAGGAAGACAAAAAATATGAAAACTTCATTTTCATCCAGAGTGTTTGCTTTCTCTTATCAATAAGCTCACTAGCAATAAAGCTTGCTGCTGTTTCATTAGGGAAAGGGAATGCAAATCAGTGTGTACAGGTACGGTCACTGTTCAGAGTTTATAACATTATTGCTCAGACATACCCACAACATTTTCCAGGCAGCAATGGCTCTATTTCAGGTGAATTTTGTTGAGATCTTTGCTGCTGGGTAGAGGCATGGAGATCCTTTCTCAGTGCTGACCTTGACCCATGGCACATGCAGAGAGGGTAGGCTGGAAATGGAGGAAGCACGACCCAGGGGGACTGCCAAAAAATCCTACTTTTCTCAGCTTAGAAAGGGGAGAAGCCTGGCTCAATGGTTTATAGGGTTTTGTTGCTTCTGTCAAGTGGGAAAGTGATCTAGTGACAGTCATGGCTTTCCAGTTCTGACACATCCCGTTCTGGAGAGATAACACCGCTACTCTCAGGCCTTTGGAGCCAACTGCAGGGATGTCTCCACCGAAGCCATTTTACAGTGCTTGTTCTGACACAAACCTGGCATTAACAGCTTAAAGCGAAGCGAGATAAAACAGTTCCTTTTATGTGCTTTATTTATTTATCTCCAGATCCGAGATAAGTGCCTGGCCAAAAACAAAATCTCGCGTGGCCCTGGTTCAGCGTCTGCAAACAGGAACCTGTGAGAACCCACCAGTCACCAACGCCGGAGTCTCCTTGCCAGGCTCATAATTAAATATAGATACGCAGGAGATGAAAGCACGCTACAGTGCTGAGACAGTTTGCTATCAGAGCGCTGAGAATGAGAAGCAGCCAGCGCAGAGCCAACTGCGAGGAGTCAGTGGAGCTCATTTGCAAGGGAAATGCAAATCCCGAGCTGATTGCGTTCCCTTAAATGGGAAAGTGTGCTAAATCTGATAAGGGCGCTCCGAGGGCCTCCTGAGCGTGGGCTTGTCTCGGTGCTGAGTTTCTGTTCTTCAGTGGGTGAGGGAGTGAATGCTCTTCTGAAAGCGCGCACAGGTGAGAGATAGCAATTATTTCCCTCTACTTCTTCCACTATCTGCATAAATTATCATCTAGATAGCCTTCATATCTCCAAAGCACTCCACATATATTAACTAATTAATGCTCGCTCTATCCCTCTGTATTAAAGAAAGAATTATCCTCATTTTGCTAATGCTGAAATACAAGGAGGAAGATTAAGTGCCAGAGAGAGAATCCAGCTAAGCACTTTAGTCGCTGAAGTCAAAGGGACTAAAAATTAATCATATGTTTGAGAGCTTCGGTGGGCTGGGACCTCGGTCTTGCACAACGCTGAGCACCTTGTAGAATCAGGCGTGCCCAAAGCCACGGAGGAATGAGAATAATAATAAAAAAAAAAAAAAAAAGCAATGAATATGAGAACATGGCATGGAATTGCTCTCCAGGAGCCGTCACGCAGACTCTGAAAGAAGCTGAAAGTCAGCTCTAGAAATGAGCTTTGCAAACTTATGCCCGTACAAGGTAGATATGAGAAAAAAAAAAAAAACAAAACCTCCTTGAAACAAAAAGACATTGCCCACATTTAAATTGTGCATGTTTTCCTCATGGCCACATTTACAATGTGCTAATATATGAGCCTGGCACTTTCCAAAACCCCACTCTGTCATTACCTGCAGCGCCCATGGCAGAACGCATTAGCTGCTACCTGCACGTTGCATACAGCTCTCGAGGAAGCTCGCTGCATCTTCCCACAGTCATAAAAGCAAACAGTGAATTTTGAAATACTTTTTCCTGGCTTCAGAGCAACATTACCAGACAAGTGATCTGACAGTCCTTTCCAGAAGAAATTAATTGAGAAAAAGTATTTAGAGGAGCTGTGCAGCCAGTGGTCTTTAATTACCTTCATTTGCATATATGCAAAAGAATTTTTTGAGAGACAAAGAGGGGAGAGCTCTACCTGAATCTTTAACAAGTGCTTGTTTTATCAAGTTCAAGTTCAGGACTAAGCCCAGATCAGATACCCAACAAAATTTACATAGAGCAATCCCAGGGCCACTTGAATGTGCCTTTCCCTCACCGATTTGCTGCAGTTTACTGATACTGCACAAGATTGCGAGTTACTTTTGTAAGCAGCCCTGAACTGCTCGTATTAAAAATCCTCCTGACTCGTGTTTGTGGGGAGCCTTATTTGGGGATAAATATTCATCAGCACCTGACTATAGTGAGCGGGGCATTTTCCTTTTCTCAAGAAATGGCTCTTTTGTTGACATTGAAAATAAACGGTGAGCTTCTGAACAGACTGGTCTATTGTAAGAGTTCCCAAAATTAGGCTAAACGGCTGGTGACTCATTGCTGGAATATTAATCAGAGCGAGATAAATGTGTGTGCAAAGCAAGGGACATGGCTTATCTGATTGGGTTATTGATTGATTTGGAATTAATTTCAGAAGGAGACAGGTGTTGAAGGGGGGTGAGACCCACAGCCATAGAAAACAGTCAGGGCTCAGCTCCGTCAGCCCCTCCTGGCGCTGATAAGCTGAGAAGAAAAACGCTTTCAGAAGCAGAGGAGGGATAAAGGAGAACAGCAGGGCAGGGCAGCTTGCGAAGCCTGGTGCTCACAGGCAAACAGGAGGCAGCTTTTGTGTGTGCAGACAATAAAGTGGCAATGTGCAGGGGGAGTCCAAGGGCCAGCAAAAGGGAAACCTGTGCCCGGGCAAGCCTTGTGCAAGAAGAAGACCTGTGCCAGCCCTACTGCTGTGGCTGGTTGTAAAAGAAGAGGGGTATTGCTATGGGATGAACAAACTCAGATGGGCTGGGTATGGCAGAGCAGAGTTCACCCGCGGAAGTTATTGGGCCGAGCAGTTGTGAGTAACGTGGAGGGAGGGAAGTGCAAGCGGCCAAGTGTGGAGAGGAAGCTGCCACTGGTCCCAGGGGAAGGAGGAGGCAAGCAGCGGAGAGAAGGGCTGGTCCTGGGGAGGCACAGCAAGCACCACCACGAGCGAGGAAGAAAACACCAAGGTGGAGAAAGTTACACCGAGATAGTGACTTTCAGCAGCTCCCAATGAAGTCTGGAAGAGAATAAGTGGAAAGAGTAAATACCCTTCTTTCAAAACCAGCTGCCTAACTTGACTATTTTGGGGGCCTGCAGAATTTCCCTGTGCGATAGGGATGCACTAGATGGGCACAGCATGAAGGCAGTCCTTGGTATTTAGCACACGTCTCCACATTACTGCTATCGATATGTTCTCACCCTCTGAACTATGTAGCACTTATTTTTCACATGAGTAAACTAGCTTTAATATTGGCTTTGAATGCAGATAAATACACAGAGCATATAGATTTCTCTCTGTCCCCATAATACTGCATGCATCTCTGGCCTGGATCTCTGGCTTTTCGCACTGGTAGCCCATCGCTAATATTGATTTGGGACGTAGATAGATAGTACACACATTATGGATTTATTTCAGTCTTTGTTGAATCTCTGTTGGTTTGGAAAGTAGATAATCTGCAAGAATGATTTTTCCCCATAACATAGCTTTTTGCACGTACGGGGTGAGAAAATATTATAATGAATATCTTCCAGTGCACTCAGTAACTTCCCTTTTGCTGACTGTACCTCATCCTCCCCAGCATCTGATATCTGTGGCTGACTATCTCAGTGAAAGGGCTGTGTATTGTCGTAGCACGGCACTTTCACAGTGAGCCATCCCATCTGTCTTCCTTTCCCACAGAATTTCAAGTGTCCCTTCACTTGAATACCAGTTGCTGAGCCTGCCTTTCATCTACTGCTGCACATTCAGAAGTGGGAACGCTGTAAAAATGTCAGACTTCTGGATTTGGGGTGTTTTTTTGTTTTCTTTTTTTCTTTTTTTTTTTTATCTCCTGATGGGTTGGAGGTGGCTTTTGGTTTTTACTTGAGGGTGGCACATAGCTTGGGACAGATGGCGTGCAGTAAAATGTGTGGGAGCATGATATGCTACCACCAAGGAAACCAGTGTGTCCACACCATGCCCTACTGCACAGAGGAGTGTGGTGAGCACAGGGAAGCCAGGCATTACCTAGCATTGACAGTTCTTCAGAGCCAGGAGCCTGAAATTCTCAGAAGGCAACCTGAGCATTTTGTGACATCGTTCTTTGTAGCACGATGGGATGAATTCTCCAGCTTCATTTTTACGGTGCTGTCGGGTTTGTTGCTTGCCAGTAGAGGAGGGCACCCAGCTGTGTGGTGCCCAGGTGGCTCTGGGTGGATGCCTGTGCCCACCCCTTAGAGCTGCTGGAGAGGAACAGGCACTCACAGGGCCTCTTCCATCTCACCCAGAGGGGAACATTGAAGATAAGTTGCAGTGGTTCCTGTCCTTGAGGTGTTGGTTTGAAATGCAGGATGACCAGATCACATACAAACGTCTGTCAGAAGAATCCCACTTCTTGTGACTAATGGGCAGGCTCCTGAACTTAGAGAGTAAGAAATACAAAGGATAGTTGATTTGTTTGCCTTGTCATTTCTGCTCTGTGCCCCTGTACAGTACCAGCCACCACAGCAACTGGACTAAAAAAAGTCTTAACACTCATCCTATTCAGGCTTGTTCTGAGTTCACTTGTTTTTGGCCTACAGAACGTTTTCTGCATGCCAGTTTCATCATCATCCAGGCTATTTGTAATCCACCTGCTTACTTTAATAGGATTTTGTTGTCAGATAGGATTCCCTTTAATATTATAATCAGTCTTAGCTTCCTTAACATCTTGCTGTTCTTTATTAGATTCACCAAAATTGCTGGAGGGTTAATGTAGGTCTGGCCTTTTGGGGAGGACCCTTACATTTTGGAGCCTTTATGTTGGTTGGCTATGTGCAAAGCATCTCAAGTACCATTACACTCATTGGTACCCCAGAACTCTGTAGAAGCCTATTACTAAACACAAGTGTCTAATACTGTTTGAAGCATGTG